GTCCCTGACTCGCATCTGATGATAACCCAATCACATATCGATCTTGGAGAACCAAGATGCACCCTGAAGCTGATAAAATAAATCGTCAATCCTCGGGAGGGGATAACGGTTCTTTACCGTTACCTTATTCAACTCCCGATAATCTATACACATCCGATGCGACCCATCCTTTTCTTCACAAACAGAATCGAGGCTCCTTATGGCGAACAACTCGGCCTAATAAATCCCTTGTCTAATTGCTCCTGCAGCTGTGTACACAAATCCTGCATCTCAGGAGGAGCCAACCGATACAGTGCCTTGGCTATCGAAGCCGCACCAGGAACTAGGTCAATCCTAAACTCTACCTGCCTCTCCGGAGGTACTCCAGGAAACTCCTCCGGGAACACGTTTGGATACTCTCGTACGATCGGTACATTATGCATTGTCGCCTTATCCTTATCCCGAGTATCCACAACACAAGTGACATAACCTGCGCAACCCTGTTGAAGGTAGCGCCTAGCTCTCGCTGCTGAAAACAAAGTCGGCCCATGCTACGACATCTCGCCCTGAATTACCAACCCTCCCCTACTTGGGGTCCAAAGTCGCACTAGTTTTTGCTCACAGTCAATCACTGCCCCGTTGGGGCTCAACCAGTCCATACCCACGATAACCTTATTCCCTCGCAGGGGAATAGAGATTAAATCCACGGAAAACTGCTCATCGAACAACTATAGTGTAGATCCCCGATGAACCCTCGCAACCCAAACGATCCTATCCTCCGCTATCTCTACATCAAGAGGACAGTCCAACTCTCCTGGAGCTCTAACAAATCACTTGCTAAGCGCGAGAGATACAGAAGATCGGGTATCCCCAGAATCAAATAATACCAGAGCGAATATACCGTTCACAAGGAACGATCTTATAATGAAACACATAAACATAAGCAACAATCAATATAAATCAAGAGATAAGGAGAAAATACATACCCGTCACAACATCAGGATCTACACGTGCCTCCTCTGTAGTTAGCTGAAAAGCCTTGGTCCTCGCCATAGGCGCCTCTGTCCGGCCCTGACGGACATCGGTAATCCGCAGTGTTGCAAGAGCGGGTGCTGCCACTTGTCTCGCTGTTATTGATGCTAAACACGGAAACTGGACCTCTTGTGGCCCCTCTGATTGCACTGGAAGCAAATCAGATCAAATATTGTAGTGGTGGTGGTGGTAGTAGTACAATCCCTGCTGACATGACAAGTCCGGCCGCACTTGAAGCAGCCCAAACTACCCGCCCTGCACGTCCCCTCGAGCATCTTCCCGTACTTACCACAGCGGCTGCGGCCCTGCTAGCTCCTTGATTTGTGATCTGATACCTTAGGCTGTTTGCCAGAACTCCATGTCTGAAACCCATCTTGTTTCCTCTTTATCTTCATCCCCAAATCCATCTCCTTTCTAGATCCCTCACAATCATATCCTCCAGCTTCTTGCAGTTGCAGCGGCTAACAAACTGTCGGATATCACTCCTCAGCATCTCATGGTACCATGCCTTTTTCATCTCCTCATCCGCCACGTACTGCGGAAGGAGAAGAGTCCTCTCCTTGAACATAGTGGTGATCTCGACCACCATCTCAATAGTCTGCAGGAGATCTTTGAACTCCCTCGGAAGTTGTTGCACCTCGATCACAGGTGCAAACTCGGCCCTGAATATGGCCGAGAAATCACCCTAGGTCATTGCATCAATAGCTGCATCATCTCCAATAGCTCGTCCAACCTCCTCCCACCAATCCTGTGCCCTGTCCTTCAGAAGGCAGGAAGCAAGTCAGACCTTCTCCTCCTCGGGACAACGGCTGGTGAGAAAGGCGTTGGTGATATCCGCCAACCACCTGCTGCTAGCAATGGGGTCCCTAGCCCCATGATAGTCTGGAGCTTCACAAGCTCGAAACTCCCTGACCGTCAATGTGCGCGTCCCCATCATGACCGCCATCTCAGTGCGGAATGCACCCAGTCTCTCATCAAAAATCTCCAAAATCCACTCCTTGACCGTACCGAAGATCACAGGAGTCTGGTCCATGATACTGCATGTGATCTCATATGAAATGAACTCCCTCGTATGATCATTGAGCTACCCGGCTCCAGAGCCCGAGCCTGGTCCCTCGCCGGCGCCAGGATTGCCAACTAGTTTAGTGTGTAGCATCAAGATACTGAAAATACACCATAACAATCATCAGAATACTCATCATAACTCGAGGGATCTAACACTACAAGTTCTCTGGTTTCATCTCAGCCCTCCTTGACTCGAATATGGATCCTCTGCTTTCAGTAGTATGGGTACATACTACCTTCCACATCTATCCGTACTTTCCTTGACTCCACCAAGTCCCTTTCACTACTATTGCTCTCATCGCTAATCTCATCCTAGGCTTACCCTAGGGTAATCTCCGACCCACTCTCCGCCATCAGCTGCATAAGAAGTCCATGATACCTTTCCCTAACTAGCTCGCAAATACCATTACATATTACTAAGACCAGATAATTCTTCGAATGAGAGGTCTCTCCCTACAACGGTTGGAATCAAATGAGAGCAGTGCAATAGGTCTAAACCTAACCTTCTGAAATTATTTAGTCCTTGTAATATGTAACTTAGGATATTCGTTTACTAGTTAGTTAAAGATAGCTAGAACTCCTAAAAGCACAAAGCAAGTAGCATTCGAGCATTGAGTAATCAAAACCAAGCATATCCTAATCAGTCCATCATATCAGTGACTAATCAATACTAGCATGCAGTTCAATAAGCTCATATAGTAGGCATACAAGGCATCCTTCCTAGATCCTTAGCCCTAATCTAGCATGCAATTCTCATACACATATAACAGACATACAAGGCATCTTTCCTAGATCCTTAGCCCTAATCTAGCATGTATTTCTCATAATCATATCATATCATAACAAACATGTATGTGTAATTTGGGAGAACTTACTTGAGCTCGGCTGATTGCATGCACCACACCATTTTCTCTTTTTGGAAATCTTTTTTTATAAAAATGATTTTCATACCAAGTCCTCGGTTTAAGTTCAAACACACCCGAGAGTGTACCCGAATCCCTCAAACCAAGGCTCTGATACCAACTTGAAACATCCCAAAATTCATGACCAAAAATTTCATTTTAATTATTAAATAAAACCATAGTTATCAAAACATTCCATCAAAAACAAGTCAAAGTATCTCAAAATATTGTTCCCAAATAAAACATCAGGGTAAAGCATCCTAGACTAAACATTATGGTGTGTGCAAGCAGTCATCCCGAGCTTTTCCCCTTGCTACCAGAAGTACCTGAAACCAAAACTAAAAACCGAAAGCACAAAGCTTAGTGAGTTTCCCCAAACTACCACATACCATACACATAATCACATAATCACATATAAACATATCGGTGGCCTCGCCCCTTCATCGGGCCCCGCCCGGCATTAGATAGTGTCTGGCATCGGGCCCTACTCGGTATACATATAAACATATCAACAAATAAATAGAATAATCACATAACATAAGCATATAAACATTCCTCAGGCCCCGCCCGACATCGGACCGTCATCCGGAAACATACAAACATTCGTCGGCCATTGCCCGGTGTCGGACCATAATCCGGAAACATACAAATACAGACACATGCAAGAATCACGAAGACATCAAGCATACAAACATTCCTTGGGCACCACCCGTCATCGTATCGAAATCCGGAAATCATATAAGCATACATCGGGCACCGCCCGGCATCGGACCTTGGTCCGGAACATACTAACATAAATATACAGGTCGGCATTGGTCCCTTCGACCTGTTCATATAGGAGGAAAACTCACCTCCAATGTCGGATGATAGCTGAAACGTCTCTGCCCCGGAATCAGCTCTACTCACTCCATGAACCAAAACAACCCCTTAGATACCATTTCATACTCATAACTCTTTAGGGTCAACTATGCTCAAAGTCAAGTCTAGGTTAAATTCAAAGTCAACGCTCCCAGTTGACTCAACTTGTCGATTTTTCCCTTCAACTCGCCAAGTTCCCATGAATCACAGAATCATGAAATCGCGATCCAACTCGTCGAGTTTTCCTCCAACTCGTCGAGTTCCTCCATTTTAACAGAATCGAGACAATTTGACCCAACTCGTCGAGTTCCTTTATGAACTCGGCGAGTTCTTTAGTCTGTTAACCCTTCTTAATCCATTCAACCATTATTCTTCAAATCTAAATCCCATATTCCAGATCTGGGCCGAAAATACATCTAGGAGGGTAAAGTTTCCAACTTTACCCATTAAAACCCACTCTAGAAGAAATAAGCACTAACCCTAACCCAAAAAGGCCAAGGTCTTGATCCAAAGCCAACCAAAACTACAATATAGACCATGAGGTCATAGATATACACTCTAGGGACTAAATGATCACGTAAAGTCTTAAGCCTTATCCTCACGGATGGCCATTAGAAGGTATAAAAGACCAAAATGATGGTCTAAGGGTTTCATGGGACTTCCTTGGACGAAAAGTTGGAAACTTTATGCCATGAAAACCCCTCAAGACCTTAGATCTGAAGTGTTCTCCACTTGGGACATCCAAATCCCAAGAATCATATCATTTGAACCAAAAACAAGAAAAATGACCCTAAAAAAGATCTAAACAACTACAAAGTAAGGTTCAAGCTTTATACCAGCAAAATGTCATGGATGAGGCAAGGATTCTGGATCTACAAGTTGTTTCTTGTGTCCTCACGCTTTTCCTTCTTCCAATGGCTTCAAGCACACACTAAAACACTTAAAATGGCTCACAAACACTCACAATATCATTAGGGTTTTAAGATCTAGAGTTAGGGACTTGGAGGCTTGAAATGAGGCCAACACCTTGGGGTTAAGGTGTTTAAATAGGGTGCAAACCCCGGAAGTAAGGGTTTCATATCTGCCAGCCTACTCACCGGGTTGACTTCGACCCCCGAGTATAGTGAGGAAACTAACCTGAATAACAATTCAAACTAAAACCTCATGCAATACCACACCGAACTTAGCCAACATCTCTCACTGCCAAAAGATAGGTGCCAAACACCTCTTAACAATCCACAGAAGGCAAACCGTAAGTCTACCTTCTAAAAAATAGAGATTGACCAAAATTCAACCCATGCTAAAAGTCAATGGCCAAATTTTACTTTAGCCAACCACCACATTGTGGCCTACGTTAACCACACCATGGCCTTCACTCAGCCAAACTGTAACAACCTAAAATTTAGAAAAATTGACTTTTAGTCAAATATTGCTAAAAAGGGCAATTTGGTTATTTATGAGAAAAACAAGGTTATACGAAGTTGTAACTTCATGGAGATGATCAAAACAATTTTATGTCACTATAAGAGGTTATATGAAATAGTTCCAGAGATAAAATGCATGACATATGCATTTTTGGCCAAAAGGGTAAAATTGGTATTTTATGCTTTTTAGGCCAACTTCATGATTTAATAGATTAAGATCTGTATTAATTCAATTAGACATGACTTAATAAACATGTAGATTATGTTTCCACCTTCACGTGGATATATAGATCATCAAAAACGGATAAGAAAGGAGAAGATATGTGCATTTGAAGTTGAGACAAAACCTGCCTAAATCTGGAACGAAATCAGCAACATACTTTGCTTATTGCGAGTATTCACGATGTGAGCAAGATAGGTTCACGATGTGAACATGTTTTGACCATAAAAATATGATATGTGAATGATTATATTCGAAACCCAAACACCTTAACACACCTGAGATGCGAAAAACACACACTTAAGTCGTATGGGTTAATTTTTGAAGGGATAACTTGATTTAAGCTTTAATTTGATGAATTAAGGAAATAAATTCATCTTCTAACCCTCTAATTTCAAATTTAGGGTAAGATTTTGAAGAAACCCTAAGTGAAGGGTTTGAGTTCAAATGATGAAATTGAGATAATAGTTGATGTTGTATAGTTTAATTATAGCTTATTTGAACGATTATCAACCTTATGTGAAGATTGAACAATTATTTGAGAAATTGAATCCATGAGATTTAGGTTCATAAGTGAAAGGTCTGAGTTAATGAATTAAGTCCTTGAATGATGAAATATGATGTTTGTAATGTTATAATAGATGGGATGAACTTATTGTGAATATTTAATGATTGATATATGTTTAGATTTTTATGAATGATGAGATGACAATATGATTTTATATAGGAGAATTGATAAACATGAGTTTAACTATGTAAATGATTTGGTTAATGATTCATATAAGTTAAAGTTTTATTAGGCAATCTAGAGAAAGGAGTTGATCAAGGAAGTCCCGAATTGGAGTATCATCCAAACAAGCCCTAAAGAATGGCGTAGAGTTATTTCTCTCACTTTTCCTTATGATTGTTATATGTTTAAATTATATATATATATATATATATATATATATATATATATATATATATATATATATATGTGTGTGTGTGTGTGTGTGTGTGTGTGTGAATTTGAGGCACTAAGTGAATGTCATCCAATGATGAGTTAATAATAGAGCATTACTATACATAGATATCATGTATTTGAGCATGTATGTATATGATTGGCATATATGTATGATATATATATATATATATATATATATATATATATAAACATGTAGCAGAGCATGCGATGAGCATAATTTCTTCGGGATTTATGATGATATATGAGTATTTTCCCTTCGGGATTGATGATGATATATGAGTATATTCCCTTCAAGATTGATGATGATATATATGAGTATTTTTCCTTCGGTATTGATGATGAGATATGAGTATCTTTCTTTCGGGATTGATGATAAGATACGGGTATCTTTCCTTCAGGATAGACGTTGAGATATGAGTATGCTTCCTTCGGGAACAATATTTAGATATGATTATACTCCCTTTAGGGATAAAATTGAGAAATGAGTATAATATCAAAGTTATCAGTGAAATCTTTGATTATATAAATAAATATGACTTTTATGTAAGTATATGTATTAAAGATAGATAAAAATGTCAAAATAAATGATTAAACCAATGAGAGTATTTGGTCAATTTAGGTAATGGTCAAATCGATGAGAGTTTTGATATTAATAAAAGATTGATTTAATTTAAGAGTATAAATAAGTTTTTAATGGGAAGGACTTAATGTAGTGAGAGTGGATAAGATGAGTGAGGGTAAATCAAGAAGTTAAGGAAGTTGCTGAATTTGCAGTATTCACGACGTGACACAGATGAGCCACGGCGTGAGAAAGTACAATACCATTTTTTTGTAATAAAAACTTTTAACAACGAATCAGTAATGACATACAACATAGAATACAAGATTAAATAAAGATGAGATATATAGAGTATATGAGAGGGAGAATGAGATGAAATATATATATATATATATATATATATATATATATATATATGAAGCAAATAAGATCGTGAAAGGATATATAGAGTGAGTGAGACTTAACAAAAATGAGATATAATAAAGTACATTATTCTGAGCACAGATGAAATTAAATAGAGTATGAGAGATAGAACAGAGAGTAGAAAAAGTCAAAGACAAAATCAAGATATGTGCAGGATATGTGATGACATAGACGAATAACTATCAGGAGAAATAAGATATATATACACACATATATATATCTTTACTATATTATTAAACATATTCCACTTTCTTGAAAAGTAAGAGGTACAATAGTATATCTTTACTATATTATTAAACATATTTCCACTTTCTTGAAAAGTAAGAGGTACCTCATGTACAATAATATTAATCATATAACCACATAGTATACGTATTACACTGTATTACCTTACCCTAATCTCCTAAACACACAATAGCCGCCATCAAAAAAATTCTCATCCGTCTCTGTTTATCTCTTCACCCTCACGACGTCAGGTGTGTGTTCTTCCCTGACTCCGGCAACAGCACACACAAGCAGCGCACCACCACCTGTCTCCACCAAATATGCAATCGACGCCCTGGAAGTCCACCTTTCCCGTCACACACAAGTAGCCCTAACTCGAAGATCTCCCCGGCTTTGAAAATCGAGGATGGCACGGGGAAACACGCGTTTATTTGGTTAGGGTTTACAGAGAGGAACAAGGCATTTCATTTCAATGTGGCATTGTCGGATCATGAGAAGTATGTGAAGAGAGAGATTGAGAAGGATGTCGATGTAGCCAGCGACGAGAGTCATATTAATATCCATCCTGCTGTAAATCACAGATTGAAGGTATGTATCGTCACTTACAGTTTTCCGGCTATGCATATAAGATTATATAGTTGAAATTTTTAGATTAGTAGCTGAAATTATCTAATGCCTAGAGGTATTGAAATGGATTTGAGCTCATTAGACAAGTATTAACCTGAAACATTACGTATATTAGGAGCGTGAAACCATTCGAATCACTGTAAAAAACAAACCTGCAAGTGGAGCTGTGATGCTTTCATCTGCAGGATTATCTGAAAAGATTAAGCCACTCAGCCTTGCTCCTCCACCCGAGAAGGTTAAGTCTAAGCGTCTAGGCCTTGATCCTCCACCAGTTGATTCCGGGAAAATTAGGTCTCCTATCCCACCTCCACCCAATGATCCTACTGCTGTTCGGATGACTTCTACAACTCATAACATTGATGCAAGGAATTCTACAGATGCTTTCACAGATTTCTCTCATCTCAAGGTATGTCCAAACAAGCACCAATCTGAAGCAGAAAACTTTCATAATGGGCGCCTTTTAGAGAGTGAGACATACATTGGTGGCCATGTGGATTGTTTGGAAACTGGTGTCTTCAGATCCGACCTTCCAACTTCTTTCAAACTTGATTCATCTGCTTTCACTGTAATTTACAACTTATTTATGGTTTTTTAATACTTACAATTATTAATCACTTGGGCCGATGACTAAAAATTTAAATTATATCTTTTTTCACAGCAACTTATCGAAAACCTTGATCGGGATCTTCATTATGCTATTAAAGTGGAGGGTAAAATGGACATGTAAATATTCTCAAATTACTATGAAGTAAATGATGCTATTACAGAAAAGGTAATGTTAAATGTTAATAGTTAGTTAACAAGTGGTGTTCGGTAAGTAATGTGTATCTGATGTTTTTTTTAGTTTTAGTTTGGGGATGATTATGAGTTGATTTTTAGTTGTTTTGTTTTTCCTTTTTGATGTATGTAGCTTCCTAATAATGGTTTTAAGACTGTAATACTAGCTCTATGAAACAATAATAGCTATGAGGGATGTTTGACTTTTTCTAGTGCTATTTAAATATTTCTACTTTTTAAAGTTTTCACATAATCTGATGTATATATCACAAAAAAGAAACAAGGGATGTTTAACTTTTATAAGAAGAATTTTGTTTCATGACAATTTTAGGATTTGAGAAGGTTCAATGCTCATACACATGGAATTACTTGGTCTAATCTCCATTAATATTACAGAAATATACATTGATAATGGGATGGAAAATTGTCACCAGTGCTTTACAAGTTGATAGGTTTAATAAGTTATTTTTTATTCTTTTTTTGCAAAATATCAGATCTACCCTTAAAAATATATATTGTTTACATCACACATTCTACATTTTGTCTCTATGTTTGTTGAAGTTTTTGAATGTCTCAACTACTGCTCATTTGTTACCTGAATAGTTGTATTCTATTTTTTAAGCAAAATGACAAATCTACTCTTGAGGGGTTGTTTTGTCATTCTCTAGGATTAATGGAGGGGTTGTTTTAACAACACATTCTTTTGATTTAAGAAAAATGATTGATATTCCTATGAAAGTTTTGAATTTTTAATATATTCATTTGATCAATAATAGGCTTGTGGAGTGGAATCTTTAAAAACATTTTCAAAGCACTTTAAACAACCATACTACCCTTCGATTAGTCGTGGGACAATAGAAGAGTTGGGGCTAAGAATTTCAAGGCCACAAGGACAACTTAGAGATGTGTTATATCAGAACTAGAGAAGGCATGTATATGAGAATTATAAGGAGAAGGAATCAAAGAAAAAGACGATGAAGGGATCTAGGAAAAACAGTGATGATTTTGTTGGATTAGGTGTCTAAGCCCATAACTATAATTGGTATGTACTTGAATTGATAGCAACACAGTCCTTTTGGGTTGCCCTCAACCTAGCAACTGGACAAGGAAATTATGAAAGGAGAGATATTAATTTATAAGATTAATGAATTAATATAAATTATTTATTAATATGTTAAAAGATTAATATATTAATTAGAAATCATTATGTTTAATTAATAGTTAGCTAGAAATTAATCAGAATTAATTTTGGGGTTAAGAGTATTAATTATAAAGTGCAGGGACTAGTTTGCAATTATCTAATAGTTGAGTGGAAGGATCCAGAACCTCCTTGGAAGGAGGTGGACGAAATCTATAGGGGAAACCCTAAGGATTTCGTCCAATGGGGCCTTGGATAAGGCTTTGGATTAGCTTAGGCCCCAAGCAAAGGAGTATTAGGGTTTTCCCTAAACCCTAGATCCCTCAGCTATATAAGGAGCTTCCCAGCTCACAATTTCGGACTCTCCTACCTTGGAAGAAACCCTAGGCCGAAAATTGCATACCCTACCCTCTCTCCTTCAAGTTTCCTTCTTGCTAGTTCTTGGGTGTGATTCCATTAGAGGCATTATATTTGTGGTGCTAAGCTTCCAAGAAGATTAAGATCAAGATCAAGAGGATTGTCAATTGTTTGCTATAACAATTGAAAGGTATGTAACTCTAAAACCCTAGTTTGTTAATTTCGAAATTAGCCTCTCTACTCTAGGGTTCTTGTTTGCAATTCAAAGTTATATGTTCAATAGTTAAAACATAGATCCAAAGTAGGTTGCATGTGAACTTAGGAATTGTTTTTCTAGTTTATTTGTTTTACCCAAAACCCATCAGTGGTATCAGAGCCATTGTTTGTTTTAAATTGAATTGTTATAATATTTGAATTGCAAATTAGGGTTCATAGCCATTAAACCCTAAAGGCCAAAATTTTCGATTTTAGGGTTTTGGTTCAAAGGGTTTTCGAAAACCCTAGCCTCCATGAACCCTAATCGAAATTAGGGTTAGGGTTTTGAAAACCCTAGCCTCCTCCCTTAAAATTTCGAAATATGCTACCCCCTTTTAGGGTTTCTTTGTTTTGGATAATAGTTGCCTTATTAGATAATTGAGAAAAATAAGGAAATTATCCTATCCCCATATTTTCGAAATCTAGAAGGGATATGGATTAGGATTAAATTAATTATTTAATTTAATTAGATAATCCTTGCAAGATTTAATAAATTAGTTACAAGTTAATTAATAGATAAATATTAAATCTAGTTATTTGGTTTATTTTTAAATTTAAAATTAATGGCTTAATTTTCGAAATTTATATATAAACCCTAAAGTTTTAAAAATTTTAAAACACACCTTATATACATTATAATTAAAAGTTAAATATTATATATGTATAAGAATATGGTCAGTCAAATCACTAGTATGCCACATTCACGAAGCTAGTCTATAAGGGGGGTATAAGGAAATTGCCTATAAAATGGTAGTTGAATGGGTGTCCACTCTCACCCACCGCTTCCTTGATTAGTGGAGGGTCGTTAGCAGAACGGGTTTGATAGGACAACTACATCTCATTAAAAGTATAATGTTATTAAAGAAAGTACTAGAACATTATTTTACAAAATCCCAACTCTAGTTACTTTAGGAAAAATGTGAAAAGTATGCTAATCCATGAAATTGCACATTATGCTTTATTGGTCGTTAGTGGAGCATGTGTGGTTAACCATCACACTAAAAGGCACTAATAAAGAGTAGTAATGGGTATCTCATAATTATCATTTTGATGGAGCGTGTGTGTTTACCAGTACATCAATAGTTAATGATAAAGACAATGAGGTTACCAAGCACATTTGCATGGTTATTCACATCTTGTTTGTGATCCTCGGCATCCCAGTCACAGATGGAAGAGCATAATCTGAGATTAAAACATGCCATTAAATAGTTTCAATGTATCTCAAAATAATTAGGAATTTCACTTCGTTTATTTCGTCTAATGGTAGAATTGGTGAATCGTCATTCACCTACCTTTATGAAATTTACACTTGGATCTCGGCATCCCATTTCTAAGTTGTGAATCTTCATAGTTGGATCCTAACCTTGATATTATATCTTTGGGTTATTATATTAAGGTATCTTCAAATCTAACTAAAACTTTCTTTCTTTTTAGATGTCTACTATTGGAAACAATTCTGCTTCATCCTCCTCCAACCACAACTTCTCTTTGCTCAACATTTGCTCCAAAGTCGTTATGGATGGCTCTAACTATAACGATTGGATGTGTAACATCAAGATGGCGCTTCGATTTGAGGACAAAGAATATGTCCTTGAAAAGGAGCTCAAAAAGCTTGATGAGTCTAAAGCTACTCCTGAAGAATATGCTGCCTACAAGAAACATTACGATGATGCTACCAAAGTAGCATGCATCATGGTGGCAACCATGTCCCCAGAACTGCAGAGGTACTATGAGGACTACTCGCCTTTTGAGATGAACAAGGACCTTATGGAAAAGTACCATAAGCGAGCTCGTCAAGAAAAGTTGAAGTAGTCAAGTCACTCATGGCTTGCAAGATGAAAGAAGGGGAGTCGGTTGTGTCTCATGTGCAAAGAATGCAACGCTACATAGAGCGTTTGGTCAAGCTCAACATTCACTTTGATGAGGAATTGGCCATTGACATGGTCTTGAACTCACTACCTGATTGTTATGGTCAGTTTATTCTAACTTACCATTTGAACAACACTGAGCAGACGCTGGCCCAATTGCACAACTTGTTGCAGACAGCTGAAGCAGGGATGAAGGGTAAAATTATAGCCTCCACTCCTGCAAGTGCCCCTGTCTTGGCCATTGGACAGGGAAAGGGAAAAAGAGGAAAGGTCCTCCTAAGCAAAACTGGAAGAGCAAGGCTCAAGCTGGGTCATCTAGTAATGGCCCAAAGGCTAAGCCCAATGCTACCACTCCCCATGTTTCTGATCCAAAGGAGGCCGTTTGCTTTTATTGCAATCAAAAGGAGCATTGGAAGAGATCCTGCCCACAATATCTGCAAGACATCAAAGATGGCAAAGTAAAGCCATCTTCGGCAGGTATTTACACTATTTCTTCTAATAACTCATTATCTTCTGGTTCATGGGTCCTTGATACAGGATGTGGTTTTCACATCTGTTCTGATTTGCAGGGGCTAAAGGAAAGTGAGGAGATAGAGCGAGGAAGGATAAACTTGATCATGGGGAACAAGAAGTCTTCACCAGTGACCAAGATCGGAGTTTATAACTTTTGCTTAGTAATGATGTTAGATTAGTTTTATTAAATTCTTGCTATTCGTCTGAGATGACGAGAAACATTATTTCATTTCATGCAATGTTCAGACAAGGTTTTAAATATTCTTTTAATGATTTGAATGGTTCAATTTCTGTTTATAAGAATGGTGTTTTTGTGTTTGAAGCTTTGCCTTGTGATGGTGTGTATGAAACAGTGACTTGTGTTGATAGCTTAGGAAATAGTGTATTTAATATTGACTTGTCTAATAGTGTAGACAAGGCATGCTTGTGGCATTGTCGTCTTGGAAACATTAACAAGAAACGCATAGCCCAACTCCAAAAGGATGGAGTGTTGGAATCATTTGACCTAAAATCAGATGATATGTGTGAATCTTGTCTTTTTGGAAAGATGACAAAATCACCATTCACAGGGTCTTGTGAAAGAGGTGAAGGTCTGTTGGATCTCATACACACAGATGTGTGTGGGCCCTTCAGAGCAACTACAAGGGATGCTAATCGATTCTATGTGACTTTCACTGATGATTATAGCAGATATGGCTATATCTACTTAATCAAACATAAGTCAGAAACCTTTGAAAAGTTGAAAGAGTTTAAGCATGAGGTCGAAAATCAATTGGGCAGAAAGATAAAGGTACTTAGATCCGATAGAGGCGGGGAGTA